GGCTCTGTATCTGAGATTGGTGGGTTTTCCAAGGGAAAACCGTGAAACCGTGGGTTTGTCATCAACAGAGGTCGGGCATTGACCAACAACTTGTGATTTGACCAATTCGAAGTTCAGCAGCAAAGATAGGGATGTTAGCCGCCTAATTAATATACAGAATTATCATGATTTATCCAATTATTCAATGCATCTAATTCATATACTGTTTACTGGAAATAACGACTGGACTGGATTTGCCCAGCAAAAAAGGCGGGCCCCCAAGTTATAGAGAAGGGGCCCCTCATCGCCTGCGGGTGCCCCAACTAGCCGCTAGTCCATGGCACTGCCATGGTGACTGTGCCATGGTACTTAAATGGTGGGTCAAGAGCTATGATGCCATGTAAATTCAGGGCATGGCATCATGCAGCAATGCATGGTCCATCTTTTTCTCAGAAGAACAATGGCAGTGGATCAAAACCATGGGGTTTACCAGCCGGAAATCTCAACGCCTCAACTACTAGAGAATACCGTCACTTCACAATCTCCCAAAATGCGTGCTGCCTGTCCAGCTGTGGACAAAAACACGGGCCAAGCCCATTTTGGAGAAACGATCATATTGTTACGTATATATCTGGCTGGTGGTTTGGAACATTTGGATTATGTTTCATTATGTTTCCATAATGTTACTCCTGATATATATAAACATAAATTTTGGGATAATAACATTTGGAACATTTATGTTTCCATATATTGGGAATTTCAGCATCACTGTTACTCAGTCCATCATTTTTCAGAGGGCTTGGTGGCTCAACCACCAACCATGGCCAGGTCTTAAAGCCGACCCATGGAGACTTGGCAAACTGAGGGGGAGATCAAAAACTGGTGGCTTTCCCTAGAAAAAAAAATCGTTAGAATACTATAAATATCTATAAATGCTAGGTGTTCCGGATGGTAAGTGGGATAAAATTCGGGGATAATATAACCAACTATCTAATTTAGTAACAATTCGGATTTGAGGAGAATGAATTGACTCACATTGACTAACCACATTTTTGGGACTTTGGGTACCATTAAAAAAAACAAAAAACGATTGAAAAAACACCTAAACTGTGATTGGTCGGTTACAGCGGTTCTATATATGTTCAATATGCTTGAATTCATTGTCAAATGCCTTTCAGATTGGTTGAAATCATTTGCCCAAGACATTTTCGACCTATACATCCTATACCCCATAGGATCCATGTAGTGTATGCTATATATGGTGCTCCATGGATCCCATCAATATACCCCCTTTATGTTAGCAGCTGGCGCATTGAAACTCTTCCCGGATTCCATGGGATGACCGTGGGCCCAATTCCGCACGTTACGTTCGGTGGTGCCCCCCGAATTAAAAAAAAATGGCTTGGAAAACCATGGAAAACCTCATCATGTACAGACAGATATATGATATTTATAATTATTTATACATATACACATACCAGAAATCATAGTTCTTTCAGTTGTAAAGCCTAGGTTACAAGTAGTAAACCACAGTTACTCTATAATATATAAGCGGGTTGATCAACCAATAGGTTAGGGCTCGGGAGATGGCAGCTCAGACGGCGGCTCACATGTTAACCGCTCAAATAGCCCAAGAAAAAATCACGGGATTTGACGAGCCAAGGAAGAATGAGGAAATCAGCACCACAACGATTGTATAATGTTGGATCTTGATTAAATAGTGTAGGGGGACCCCCCCTAAACAAATTTTGGTGTCTATTTAATGTGAATTTTTCTGAGGGACCGGGGTCTGAATTATATTGGATCATGATCTTAAGTAAAGGTGTCAATTGATTTCAATCTAGTTTCAATTGATTTCAATTTACTTTCAACTGATTTCAATTTACTTTCCATTGATTTCAATATACGTTAAATTGATTTCAATTTACTTTCAATTGATTTCAATGTACTTTTAATTGATTTTAATTTATGTTCAATTGATTTCAATTTACTTTCAATTTACTTTCAATTGATTTCAATTTACGTTCAATTGATTTCAATTTACTTTCAATTGATTTCAATTTACTTTCAAATTACGTTCAATTGATTTTCAATTGATGTCAACTTACTTACAATTAATTTTCGGATGATTTCAATTTAGTTTGAATCTCGTATTAATTTATTTCAACTTATATGCTTTCAATTGACATCCCTTAGGAATCCCACAGAAATCCCATGGAAAGATCATAGAAATAACATGGAAATAGCATAGGAACCACAAAGAAATCCCATGAGAATCCCATAGAATTCCCACAGAAATCCCATAATAATCTCATAGAAATATCATAGAAACATCATGGAAATCCAATAGGAATGCCATAGGAATCCCATAGAAATCCAATAGTAATCCCATAGAAACATCCTAGACATACCATAGAAATCCCATAGGAATCCAATGGAAATCCCATAAGAATACCATAGAATTCCAATAGCATCCCTTCAGAAATCCCGTAATAATCTGATAGAAATATCATGGAAATCCCATAGGAATGCCGTAGGAATCCCATAGAAATCCAATAGTAATCCCATAGAAATATCATAGACATCCATTAGAAATATCATGGAAATCCCATAGGACTTGCAGAGGAAAAATCATAGAAATACCATAGAAATCCCATAGAAATCTGATAGAAATCCAATGGGAATCCCATAGACATCCCTTTGAAATCCCAGAGAAATTCCAAAGAACCACCATGGAAATCCCACAGAAATCCCACAGGAATCCAATAGAAATCCCATGTTAATCACATAGAAATATCATAGAAATCCAAAATTCAAAGAAATATCATGGAAATCCCAAAGAAATCCCATAGAAATATCATAGAAATCCCATAGAAATCTTATAGGAACCGAATGGAAATCCGATAGACATCCTTTTGAAACCCCATAGGAATTCCATAGAAATACCATCAAAATCCCTTTAGAAATCCCATAAGAATCCAAAGGACATCCCAGAAACATCCTTTTGAAACCCCATAGGAATCCCACAGAAATACCATAGACACCCCTTTAGAATCACCATATAAATTCCATCGAATTCCCATAGAAAATTTATAGAAATCCCATAGACACACCATAGAAATCAAGGAGAGGATGCCAGGAGAATTGAACTAAGTAAGAGAGAAAAGCTATAGCAAAGGAAAGGAGAAAAGGATTTTGGAGAAAAAAACGCTCTTAAAAAAAGCTGGACGCAATAGAGGACCCCCACAACAAACATACTAATGTTGTCTAGCCAATAGTGATATCTTGCCAATAGTAGAAACATTTTTCCGCAACTCCAATTTTTCTCCAATACTAAAAGTCAATTAGCTCCATTTACTTTTAGTATTGCCAAAAGAGTCATGTTCAGACCTTGTCCAGAGGGCATGGCCAATAGTGGACCCAACATGGCAATAGTGGAAACTTGTTTCCCAACTCCAATTTTTTCTCCAATACTAAAAGTCAATTAGCTCCATTTACTTTTAGTATTGCCAAAAGAGTCAAGTAAAGCAAATCCTTTTCAAAGCAGCCTTCACTTTTGATTAGCAAAAGCTTAGATTCCAGAAATCTGATCCAATTACCAAACAGCTGATTTCCTTATAAAACCCTTATTAAAAAAAACAAGAAAACAGGTCCACAAAGGGTACCCCCTTTGCAAGCCCCAGAATAGCAATAACAAACCTGCACCAGGCATGGCAATAGTGGAAACTTTTTTCCGCAACTCCAATTTTGTTGTCCTCCTTCTCCTTCTCCTTCTCCTTCTCCTTCTCCTTCTCCTTCTCCTTCTTCTCCTCCTCCTCGTCCTCCTCCTTCGCCTCCATCCCAGCCATAAGGTTCCAAAAAATTACTATTGGAATGCTGACCCCCCCCTGACTTTTTTCCCCAAAATTATTTTATTTAGGGGGGGTTTACTATTATGCAGCATACATTATTGAAGATCAATGCTGATCATTGGCTACCCCCTTGAAAAATTGTTTGGGTGCTGTTTTTTTTTTTAATGAGGTTTTAATAAGACATACTATATTTTGGGAAATTAGACATTTTGAGAAACACGAAAGAATGGAGATAAGAAAGTAAGATAGAAAAACTAAAGGAAAGGGAAAGGAGAAAAGGATTTTGGACAATTTTCACTTCAAAGAAAAGCTGGACACAATAGAGGACCACCACAACAAAAATACAATTGAAGATCAATGCTGCTCATGGGCTACCCCCTTGAAAAAATGTGTGCGTGCTGTTTTTTTTTACTGGGGTTTTCATAAGGCATCCTATATTTTGAAAAATTAGACATTTTGAGAATTCCGAAAGAATGGAGCTAAGAAAGTAAAAAGAGAAAGACTTTAGCAAAGGAAAGGAGAGCATGATTTTGGAAAAAAAAATCACTTGAAAAAAAGCTGCACACAATAGAGGACCACCACAACAAACATACTATTGAAGATCAATGCTGCTCACGGGCTACCCCCTTGAGTTTTTTTAATGGGTTTTTAATATTTGTTTTGTTGATTTTGTTTTTTTTTGTTTCTTTTTTTGCAATATAAGTAGTTGATTGTTTTCAAACAATGAAACACTAAAACAAAAAACTGCTGACAAAAATTGCATCACAAAAAACAAAAAACAACTAGCCACAATACCGACCCACCCCATTAAATACACTGGGTCATAATTATTTTTGGAAAGAATTATTTTTGGAAAACTTGACACAACACAGTTTCCCTACACAAATCGGGATACTACATTAATTAATGTGGTATAGTAATGGGTATATATAATGGGTATCATAATGTAGTATAGTGATGATGATTGGTATATCATGGATATCAATGGGATTCAATGGATATATTTGTTGACCAAACCCTTCGACATCATGAACAAATGATGGCATCATGATCCCCAATGGTGATTTTTAGACAGACCCATACTTTGAAATGGATTGAAAACTACCCAACTAGCTATTCGTATGATTTGGCTTGGCATTTCCGGGATTCGTATGGGATTCGCTCACCGCCATGGCGGAGCTTCTCTTGTCAGATCCTGAAGTCGACCATCCTTGAGTCAAGAAAAGTCAAGAATAAGATTTGGGGGGTTCCAAATGTTTCCAATCTATAGGGGTACCCCCAAAGCATCCATGGAAAATTTTCGGATGTCATCCGATGTGAAATAAACCATCCATTTTGGGCACCATTTATGGAAACCCTCTCTATCAAGGCCTTTCCGAATCGAAGAGCCCTAGTGAGACATCACCGCTGTGGATCACGGCCGTCTTAGGAGACGATCTCTTTTTGGATATCCGCGACCTTCACAGGTGCCACCAGGGGAACTAAGCAGCCGCATGTTATGGGGGATTTAATGTGATGGGAGATTCAAATGGTGCCCATTTGCCAACTTGATATGATGGGATATGTGGGTCTGAACATGGGGTATACATGGGTATACCCTCAATTCAATGGCAAGCTACGGCAATCTTGCGGAACATGATGATTAACGGAGAAGAGTTAGATGTATCCTTTTTTCAGACAAACCGTATGCGCCTGTCATTTTGACAATTTATTTTTCAGGGTTGTTGTGGTCCCCCAAAAGTGCGTGTTTTTTTTTGGTCGGAGGGTTTGAAGATGTTCAAACTCGAATTTGTGGTAACTGCGGGATTCTTCCTGATTAATGATGTTAGGGACCGATAGACTTTATCCATGCAG